GAGTCCTGAGGCTGGCTAGGCGGGGGTCTCTGGGCCGAGTCCCGAGGCCGAGGCTGGCTGGGCAGGGGTCTCTGAGCTGAGTCCTGAGGCTGGCTGGGCGGGGGTCTTTGGGCCGAGTCCCAATGCTGGCTGACTGTGGAGCAGTTCCCTGGTGCCCATCCTGTGGAGGCTGGAGGGTCCAGACGAGTGGTAGCAGAGCCTAGCCTCAGGGTGGACAGCTGACCCGGGGGCCCCTCCTCCAAGCGGGGCAGATAGAGCCCACCTGGGTCTCTAGCTCTGAAGCCTCCATCACTCGAGGAAGAGCTCATGCCTCTGCCCGCACAGGCGCTCGGTCCCCAAACCCCATGGCGGAACCTTTGCTTCCCTCTGTGAGGCTGCAGGGTGGAAGCCTCCTTGCCCACGAAGGGGCGGGTGCAGAAAGGCCAGCGGGGGACCTTGGCCGGAGCATCCCACAGAGATGAGAGACGTGACACTCCCTGCTTCGCCCTGCTGTGGCTTTATTCCCTACCTGTAGCGGGGGAAGGTGCGACCCTACCCATGTTAGACGGGAACCCTGGCATGGAGACCCAGGCGCCCTGCTAGGTGGGAGGCTGGGGGCACGTGGGCCTCCCAGCATGGTCCCCATTTTCTGTGTCCCTGTCCTGGAGCCCAGCTCTGCCCGTGGCAGCCAAAGGTGTGATTGAGTAGCTAAGTAGGACCCAGTTGTGGGCCATCTGTATGTGGCAGGGCTGCGTAACTTGCCCCACGCCCTCCCCAGTGTCTCCTTGGTTGGGGCTGGGGGCTTCAGGGATCAGGGAGAGGTTGGATACTCGCTGTGTGCCAGGTGGCACCTGGGACAGGGCCTTGCTGGGGACGGGTGCTGTGGGTGTGCTCGCCAGGCTGAGGCATCAGGAAGGAAGGAAGAGGGGAGCTCTCTGGGGAGGCACACGGGTGGGTACCAGCTGGAGTGGTGCCTGAGCAGCCGGCAAGGCTGGGGCCTTCAGATGAGGCCATAGGTGGGTGGTCTGGAGTGCCTGGCCAAGGAGCAGAGCTGGGTAGGGGCCAGGAGCTTTTCTCCGGGGGAAGGGTTCCGGGGCAGTGGGCTTGAGACCCTGGCCCTGGGGATTGCATATTGGGGCAGATCAGACCATCCAGGAGCAAGTGGGAGGTGGGTGTGCCGGGGCTTCACACTGGTTTCCACTTCTCTGGCCTGTGTTGACACAGGCCACCCTCCCCACCAGGCTGGTCCCGAGCCCCCTCCTGGCCCCCAGGCCTGGAAGACAGCTCCCTCGCTGCCTGGCCAGGCCCCCTTGTGGTTGCCAGGGCCTCGATGCTGGAATGTCAGAGGCCCCCTACTGGCCCCTCAGCCCCCTCCTGCTTTGCACAGGCTGGGCCAGAGCCTGCCAAGGAGCCCCAGCGGCTACACACTGCACTCACTCACACCTCTCAGGGCCCTGCACGTTCCCACAGCCCTCAGGGTGTATGTGCAGTAGGAATGGCTGTGCCCCAGGTGTGTGCTCCCCAGGTGTGTGTGTGCCCCAGGTGTGTGTGTGCCCCAGGTGTGTGTGTGCCCCAGGTGTGTGTGTGCTCCAGGTGTG